AAACCCAAAGCCCTTGAACCCTAAACCTTAAGCCCTAAAACCCTGTTCTGATATTGAGGCGTCTATAATTGCGCATCATAGTCTTCGAGCTCAGGGTTTCAAGGTTCTTGGGCTTTAAAGTTTTCATGTGTAGGGGCTCCAGAGTGCAGGTGCATGGATATCCTTAAACATCCGGAAACCATGATTCTAATGTAGGAGTTTCCGAAAATACGGGGTGCTTTATTTTGCGGTCCTTGCCAGAAGGATCCTACTATTTAGGGTACTATATTAGGGTCCCTATTTTCGGAACCATATAGGGTTCTGAGTCATTGGATATTTTGTTCCCATCCCTATATCTAGAAATTTTTTTCACGTAGGAACACACCCCAAACCCTTGTCCAAGTATCCAGGCACCTAGTACACTCAATCCACTGACTGCACATCCAAAGCGCCGCCAAATTAGGGCCCGAATCAATGAGGAGTACGCCCTGAACGTGACTCCAAGTTTCTGAGCGCCAGGGTTTAGGGGCAAACCGTGAGGACCTGAACCCACGAAGGCCAGGAACGGGAACCCCGCATCCCAAACCTTCCATGGAAGCTTGATTTAATTCGCGGCAGCGGCACACAAATGGCTACTACAACCTCAACCTGCATCAGCATGACCATACGGCTGACGGGACAAAATCCTGCATCCATGACATTGAATATCCCCGAACCCTCAACCCTAAACCCCAAACCCTAAGCCCTAAACCCTTGACCCTTAAGGTCATGCAGTTCAGTCCATCACCCAAATGAGTCCCCACGAATCTTTGCACACAGCTTTCAGAAAGTTATTCTTGCCCCAGGCCTTGTCGCAAGTTTTCCTCGCCGTGAACGTCCGGGCCATGTTAAGCCTTTGAGGTTTAATGCTTGGGGTTTAGGGTTTGGTGGCTTGTAGGTTTTGGGCCTGGGCCTTAGGAGTTGAGTTTTAGGTAAACCATGAGCGCCACACCGTTCTTCTCGAACTTCCACTGCCATTTCGGTGGTTGTCAAAATTAGGGTCCCTTTTTGGGTACTTATTATAATACGGCACCTATTATTTAGGGTACCCCAAAAAGGACCCTAATTTTGACAACTACCCATTTGCTGGTCGCCTTAACTGCCTACCATGCAACAAGGAGCTTTAACACCTTGGGCACACCCCTAAACCCTAAACCCTAAACCCTAAACCCTAAACCCTAAACCCTAAACCCTAACCCCACTTTGGTGCGTGAAGGTGGTTTAGGTCGTAGGGTCCTGGTCTTTGAAGATTCTGGGCTTTGGGTTTGTGGATTTCGGGTTTATCCTAGGTCGTGTTAGGGAGACCCCTTAAAGGGGACCCTTCTTAACCCTACTTTTGGCTCTCTAGAAGGGACCTTATTGAGAGGGTCTATATCCCCAAGGGTCCCCCTAATCCTAACTCCTAACCCTAAACCCTAAACCCTAAACCCTAAACCCACTTTGGTGCGTGTAAATACACTATAAAGGGGCCCAGCACCCTATTCTAACTATTAAGACCTCCACATTACTCCTAGACCCGAAGCCCTACAACCCCAAGCCCTCTATTCGAAACCAGAAACCGTGAACTCTGGACACCAAAATAGAGCCTATACCCTAAACGCCTAAACCCTAAACCCCAAACCCTGTTAAGCCCTGAACCCGGTACCCTGCAGCCCGACGCCACAAAAAAAGAAGACGATGTCAGCGACCCCGCGAGTCCCCAAAAAAATCTTCACAACGTGCTGCAAAACCTTCAGAAACCTCCGGGGCTCTTGGGTTTCCCCGAGAAGTTTAGGGTTTAGGGGCTTAGGGTTTAGGGGTTTAGGGAGGGGTTTAGGG